TTCTAATTGCCACCACTTTAGAGTCCACTTGGCTCAGCCTTTAGCATCTTAGATACAGAAACATAAGTCCTCCCCACAGCCCAAATTTAAAGTAGAAAAATGTTTTGCAGAATCAGAGGGAAAAGAAAATACATCTTCTAAGACTGCCTACTGCTGGCTGAGTAACCAAGTTAGTTCTGCACAGTAATTGCATCATACAGCCCATACACTTGATGAGCAGTATCAGTTGTCTTATTTAAGAACCACAGGACTCTCCAGTTTTGCCCTGTCACAGAAGCACAGAGGCACTGAACAGGTACTGTTAGAATAGGGGGTTATAGCTTCAGCCAAAGTCTTACTTCTGGAGCAGCAACTCCAGCTCTCCAATTCGTGATTTCTCTCATTCTTAAGGGGATTCACAGCTAAGGCCTGAATTCAAGGCATGACATCAGACCATCCAGCCCATCATTTTGATCCACAATAACAACAGGGAAATAGCTTGTCCCCAGAAACTCAGTGAGGAAGTGGAGAGTGCTAATGGCTAGCCACAGCACTGAGGCAAAGGCTCCTGCCTTTTCCCAACTTCAGCAACACTGACAGCAGTAGGCCCATCTGCTTAGTACCTTGCACAGCAAGAAACTCCTGGCACTTGGAAGCTCTTGTGCACAGGGGCAGGGCCAACACTGCCAATTAGGATCTGAAGAGTGCTAGCTAGCACTGTTTAGACTAATGACATTTCATAACTCTGTGGATTACTATACAACACTTACCAACATAGGCAGGGATTTCTTTGCTGCAAACTGGGAGCAGCTGGGAGATCCAGGGATATTGTAAGCAGGAAGCTGAGCTCTGGCAACATCACCTCAGTCCTGAGCCAAAACAGAACCAGAACAGGTTCAGTACGTACAGCCTGAACCACACCAAAGGAACTTTTGAAAACTCAAAGTTAATTATAGTGCAAATACTTACCCTTGAGCATGCTCCCTGGGGTGCTGGAAATTGGTATCCTGCCTTCACAGATCAGCACCATCCCTCCACACCTCAAGTGCCAGGGATGAGCGCAGGGGGATAAAGGGGAGCAATCTGCCTTTGCACTGACCTGGCAAACAACGCCACCGGCTCTGCAGGCAATTGGAGCAAGGTTTGGCTCCTATTCTACCAATACCCAAGGTACCCTCTTTTTTGTAGCTACTGCCTGATAGTTTTGCAAAACCTAATCTAGATGCTACACAAAATACTTGTGCTGGGACATTACTTAGGTCAGATTGCTCTGTTTTAGCATCCCCAAATATGTTGGTTGTTTGGCAATTATCTTCAAAGAGAAGTACAAATTTCAACTTAGATAGCACTTCTTGCTGTCACATTGCTCGTTACTGAACACTGTTTCAAGGTATAGAATCCCACTGTGACAGATGGAAAGAGAGCCAGGCCAGGCAGAGAAAGCAGCAGCAATGTCTGTGCACCCTAAATTCCCTCACAAATACTTCAGCTGCACTAGCGACAAGCTTTTGTCCACGTTTTCTTCAGCTGCAGGCTATGGCCAACAGCCTGTGCTGCATCCCCAGCTCACTAAGCTCATGCCAAATAAGCAATACCGTGCAGATCCTGGAGTGCTCACAGGACCCAAGAAAGCTCTGCGACACACCTCAAACAGCCCTGGGAACTGTTCAAAGTTACAGCAGCTTTCCTAGGCCTTCCTACAAACTCGTAACTCAGGGCAGCCCCAGTGGCGTGCAGCATAGCATGGTCCCTGTATTTCTTCCAGGTGTGATGGGAAAGCCACTGCAGGGCTGTAAGACCTGTGCCAGGAAAATCCATACTGACCCCTTGTGAGTTAGAGTGCTTTCACATCCTGGCAGAGTGACACTTAGAGCCAGCAAAGGTGACAAGACACAAAAACTATATGGTGTTTTCATTTGCTATCCTAGCTAATGCAGTCTCAAACAAAGGGGTAACCTGTAGCGGCCCCACGTGCTAGAGTTTCTTTTTTAAGAAACCCATCATGATTAATATGAAACATGGGAGCAGCAACAGAAAAGCAAACAGCATTACAGAACAGACAGGGAAGCCAAGTACAGCAGATAAAAGTCAGAAGTTACAGATACAGGCAAATGGGAGGGAAGGTAGATAGATGTGTCTATGAAAACTGCCCTGCTCCTAGACAAGGCACTATATTACAAATGATGCAGAAATGGCAGAATATATAGCAAGTTAATATCCTGTACTAGGATCAGAGTTTGACGACCTTCCTGTATTATGGACATATGAAACACTTCCCTCTGCCCCAGAGAACTTCCGACAAAACTTGTAATGGGTGGTAATCTGCAAACCAATGCTCAAAAGGTCTTAAAAGTATTTATCAAGTGTTATGAAAAAAACAGACCCACATCTTACACTCATACGTGTAAACATAATAATTAAACATTTAGTGCCCTTGAACAAAGGGAAAATTCCACAGGGCTGGAAGAGAGCCAGTTGTACACTGATATGTAAGAAAATATGACTCTGGGAAATATAGATCACTTGGTTCTAAAATCACTGGAAAAGACCAGAATAGCTGAATTTATTTGTTTAATAAAAGTAAGGGATAGAACAACTAGTAAGTTAGCAAATGTTCACAGATTAAGACTTGTGATAAAAATGAATTTTTTTTTTCTTTTGTAAAAGCACATAGCTGGCTCCCAAGTAGTCCCTGTGAAGCAATGCAACTGCTGTAGATTTTAAATACATAACCACTTCATTTGTTTTTTTAAAAAGGACAACTATCCAGCATCAATCTAGCATATACAAAATAGGACTGGCTAACTGCCAAACTGAATTGGGATGGGTTCTGGGTACTAAAAGGCAGCTAAATAATTGGAAAAAATTTGCTGAAATCCTTTCAGCTGAAAAGGCTGAGGGGGTCCAAGGTACCAAATTCACATCCTAGCCATACGTCTGTGGAAGAATCAGAGCAAACCATGGAAAGCTAGAACCGCAATTTCATCTGAGCCCTGTAGTTCCTCTGCCCATGTATTACTTCTGGGAACTGCTCACTCCCAATTTTGTGGGCGTGAAAAGTTCTGGGTGGCGCCAACTGCCAAGAATCTTAACTTCAGGGAAGTGCTTGTGAATTACTCTGCTTGGGGAGGGGGTGAAAATCAGAGGTAGGGAAATAGTCTGACCAAGAGGCAATGATGAGGGAGCCCCCTTCACTACCTAGCACTTCTGCCTGTTAACTATATGTCCTAGGGAGCTACAGCCAACAGCAGAAGGCTACTCCACAAGAAAAAGCAAGAGGAGGTCCAAACTTTTTTTCTAATCATTTGGATCTTGGACAGAGGAAGTATTTGGCACACACCCTTCAGGCAGGAGGGAAAAAAGCCTCCTCAATGAAACTGTGGCACATCCCTCAGCCCCTTACACATCCAGCTGACAGGAAACGTCCTGAAAATACAGGTAATATAAACACACTGGCAAACCTTCAAGCTCCTCGCCCTGCTTTATAACCACAGTGATCTCTATTTTGTTAAAGCACAAGAGGTTTCCAAAAAAACAACTATGACAATGGCATCAGCGGTAAAAAAGGAGCAGGCAGAGATCAGTCAGATGAATGAACGTACAAGAGTACATTTTGTTTTTCATTTTTTTATTGTGACTTAGAGATGGGAGAGAAAGGCCCAGTGCTACTGACAGAGCAGGAACCAGAAGGGAAATGACAATAAAAGTAGAACAATGTCTTTTTGCTGAGTATTTAAACCTTCAAGATTTTTGGCTTAGTTCCTTGTGATTCCACTGTTACAGAGCAGCAGCAGTTTTTCTTTCTTTGGAATGGAGGGTTCTTTGGCTAGAGTACAGAAAGCAAGCTGTAGAAAATTCCTTTGGCCTCACTCAGCCTAGACCTGCCACCTAAAAGGCACCATCAGAAAGCAGCTCAGTGCATGCAGCAAGGCAACCACTAGAAACTCTTCCCACATCAGCACTGAGGCAAGCCACAGTACGTATCATCTTCGTCAGACTAAGCTATGTCAGCAGCCTGATTTGGCCTTCTTGGGGCACAAGTAAACCATATTAGCTAGAAAGAACGAGCGATGCTGAACTTCCTACCCTCCTTCTGACCCAGCTGAGTTACTACTGCCTCCTAGCTAGAGTAGCATCATAACTGAGCATTTTCCAGTATTAAAACCTGAGCTTGGGGTTTCAAAGTACCAGAACCTGCTATGTGCCAAAGAACAGCAGGAAATCTCTCTTCCATCTTTGCTTTTGAATATGTGAATGAACCCAGCTGTCAGAGATTTCTGCCATACCACTGCCAACAAAAATAGCCTATTCTTTCCAATGGTAATTGATGCCTCATGTACACAGCAAAGTACTCCCCACCCAATTCACATGGCCACGTGGATAAGCAGCAGCTCCTGTCTCTCTCAAGCATAAAGGAAGACATTGCTGGACTGAAAAATCAGGGGAGGTTTGTGGAAAAATAGCGCCGACTTCCTAGCTCTGGGGCAAGGAATGCTTTTTTTTTGCAGTTCAGAGTAGAAAAGAAAACACCCTGACCCTGAGCTTGTATCAGGCAAATGCCAGGCCCAAAGAATCCTGTAGTTGTATTACATTTCTCCAAATCACATCAAGGTTCTTACACAGTGGTGGCCTCTAAAGAGCTTGGACAAAGTGGGAGCCATAAATGGCCTGAAGAAGTTACCTAGAACCAGTACAGTATTGCCAGTAGCAACACAACAATACACAGAAGGACTGTTAAAATATTTCTTCCCCATGCAACATCTTTGCGAACAAAAATGCCATCAGATTTGTTTATAGCATTCAAATTCGGGTCTCAGGTAGCTTTTACTCCTGCCCTGAGACCCGAGTTTCTCAGGTTTATCTTCCCCATGAGTATTTTTCTTCTCTACACCCAAAACACTTCTTAATCCAACTCTTTACTATCAGGATTAACTTTACTGAGTTAAAACAATGGTAAAAATATTTGCTAAGTTTATTTTAGAAATACAGATTTTGTAAAGACAACAAAGGATGATTATTACCTCTCCCACACAGCCTTCCTTCTGCATGTACTTTCGGATAACAGACCAGATTTGGCATTTGCTCAGCAGTCTTCCACCAGTAGCAACTTCAAAACTCTCATAGGTACCATACTTCTCCAGGACAGCATGAATGATCCTAATTGCCTGTCACATAAACAAATAAAATATCAGCCAAAACACCCTCTCCACTCTCAAGTACCTCTTCCACAGCACCAAAAATCCCATTGTAATGAAACTTGATTAAGATAATCCCCTATAAAGAATTCAAAAGCCTGTAGTGTCAAGTGCTTGTGAAGTGAGATAAGTTCTTATGATCTAGAAAAAGATTAAGACTGAGCCAGCCAGAACATTACTGTGGCAGAGGGGTACCCAGGACAGAGAGATACTTAACACAACCAACATGACCCACAGTAAATTCTTTCTGCATTTTATTGTCTCACTTATCCTCACAAGCATCCATTGTAGGAACTAGGCAAAGCAGAACCGAAACAGCAGTATCATGGCATGCTGCCGCTAGATGTTAAAACCATGATATATTTTAATCTTTTCTGCTTTCAATTCTCCATTCAAACTTTAGTGTTTGTAAAAGGGGACCTGTTTTACCAACATACTTATTAGTCCAAGACTTTCTTACTGCAACACTGGATTTATTTCAGGAACTGACAGCACAGAAGACATTTGACAAGGGCACATCTTTTGGCAAAAGATGTCCTCTGGCCCATTATAAAAGTAGCAAGTACAAAAATGGGATGGATACATGACTGATCTCAGAGTTATAGGAAGATCTTTATTCCCCTCAGCTAGCTAAAGCTGATAGAACCAGAAAAAAATTAGACCACAGCTAAGCTGTGGAGATTTAAAATGTTAAAGGGGAGTTAAAATGATTGTGGCAGCTCAGACTGTTTTTTCTTCACGGGCTACTGTGTCTACTTTGGTGAATCTCTGTAGAAACTGCAATTTCAACAAAGCACTTCAAGTGTTAATGCATGAAAGAGTCAGAACTACACCTGCAATCTTCCACTCTCATAAGAGACAGGCAGGTCCTGTAGTGAAGCTTAGCTGTAAAGGGAAGTGTTAGTTGCACAGTGTTGCTTCCTTTATTTCAGATAGGGTCTCAACATGACCAGTCTACCAAAAACCAGCAACATTTTAATAAAAACAGTGTGTGCCATTTTATTAGCGTTAACATTTACACAGCATATATACAACACAAGCATTTATTAGCACATTTCCTCACCGGGAAGTGAGTTTGCATCCAAGTCATTTTGAAGTAACAGTTTTCTCTAGCCTAGGGATATATATCTCTACCTAGATGACTCCTATCACTCTTCTGTACTTATTCTGGAGTTTTCTAGCAGTTCCCAGAGCAATATATATATATAAAGCTGCCTGAACTGCCACTGACAAGATGCCTGCTTACCCTCTGCTACTGAGCTTTTCAGGCCAGGATAACATGCTACTCCTGAAGTGTGCATGTTTTGCCCTCTCTTGCTGAGAGGGCAAATCCCTTTGCACAGGCAATCCCTTTGCTCTTTGTCCTCCTCTAGCTTCAGATGTTTTGCAAGTTCAGTCCCTAAAGGGAACTCTATTATTGAAGGAAGGATGTTCAACACAGGTATGTTATGGCTTGGAAAAGATCATGGTGTTAAGAGTACAGTGAACACAACAAGAAATAGCTCTAGTGCAGCTCTAGACCTAAAAACTGAACTCAGCCATATGGACCTGGGAAAGAACACAGAGGGAGCTAAGGCATAAATCAGGCCAATACTCTGCTACAAAAAAAAAAAAAAAAAAAAAAAAAAAAAAAAAAAAAGAGAGAAATGTTCTGGGAGACGCAGGAGCCTGGCTGCAATAGCACAGTCCTGTATGGCTTGGTTGACTGTATTAATAAGCCAGATCCATCACAGATACAGTCTCCACTCAACAGAATTTGAGTAGGTGTCGGGGGGATGAGCCGGCACATAGGAGGACATGCCGATTCAGCAAGGAATTAAACACAAAAGATATGATTATCAACAAACTGGCATTCAACACCATTGCCCACTACACAGTGGCAGTGGTTTCATTAAAACTCTTATTCCAATTATAAATAGGACCTCTTTTATTAGATTAGTACCACATCACTTAACTTCCATTAAACCTCATACCACATACAAACTAGAGACCAATTTCACAGTGTGCGTGTGAGCTTACATCTTAGATCAGACCTGTGTTGTCTGAGGCCCTTTCTCACGAGCACCAGTATCAGAGGACCAGAGAAAGACGCAAGAAAGTCTCCTGAAATACAGGCGCAGTTTGCTCTTCCTCCACCCTGATCAACAGCAAAGCAACTGGTTAGAGCCCTGCATAAGAGGTTCTATCTCCTCCTTTCTGCTTAAGGACATCCAGAATTATGATAAGAATGCTTATTGCCTACGTAAACATTCAAACCATCTAAACACTATCCCCAGTGGCCCCTGTGAAACCCTGTAAGAGGGACATTGTGTGTGTTGTGACCATCTTTCTGTACCAACACAACAGTTGTTTCTGATTTTCCTTCCCTGAACAGTCCTCTGTACACTGCTGATTTTATTCTCAAGTCACTTATTCTGTCTTCGGAGGAGAAGTTTTTTATGCTCTACTTCTATAATTGCATTCCCTTGCTCTGCGCTCTCTGGAATATTGACATGTGCGTTTGAGACGGGGAATCACTGCTTGCTACACCACAGCCCAGTCCCAGGGAGTAATGACACTCCACACCTCGTGCGCCTTCCCAGAAGCTCACTTGTTCCTAACTACCGCTCTTAACTTGGGGAGGTTTCTTTAAAGTTTGTCCCCTTTTGGGAGCTAAATAATCAAGGCTATTTTTGCACGTTCTGTCTGTTGCTCAGCCTCTTTCCCAAGCCATGAGAAGGGCACTGAGCCCCACTCATGAGAGCCATAAGGAACCTTCTGCTGACTTTGATCAAAAAAGGACCATTTCTTCCTGCCATCTTTTGCTTAGTCACGATGAAACTTTGTCTTTCATCCCATAAGGCCTGCAGCACTGAGTTGAGAGAAACTCAGCACAGATGGTCTGCAGGAGTAAGATCACAAAAAGGCATGTTTTTTCCTGACTTTTTGAACAAGCCGCAAAGAACAAAATTTTCTACAATAAAGCATTTACTTTTCTGAGAAGCTGATGAATATCACATCAGCCCTTCCTGCCCAGGCACTGCCCTATTCGGGTCTCCAGAGCAAGAGCTTATCAACTCAGTCCACAAACATGCACAATTACACACACAAAGTGATAACTCAAGCTACAGGTCAAGCTCTGTGTTGATGCTGTTCTCACTCCTGTGTGACAGCCTGGGATGCTGCCAAACAGGCCACCTGATCCGTAGTGTAATGAGTCTTAATGTGGCTAGAAGGATCTTTCTTATTTATTCAGAGAAGTTTAAGCTTCTATTAAAAAAAAAAAAAAAAAAAAAGGGGTCACTAAGCTCAAAATACGAAAGATAAGTGCAGGGAGCTGATTGTCATTTGTGTACTCTTGCCCAAGGTTGTTAGCTTAGCAAAAAAACCTAAATTATCTAAATTCTATGTTTAACTCAGGGTTTTAAAATAAAAGCAGCTTATAGGTAATGATTGCCATTCCCAAGAAAAAAAGTCTCCCAAAATGAAAGAGATTGGAAGTAGGTTACTGCAACATCTGAGCAAAGGAACATCGATACTAATACTGTCAGGTCCTCTATATATCTACTGTTTAAATGAGCACTCACCTGTATGTGAAGCCTCCCCATCTTCAAAGTATTTTCCTATTCTTCTCCACTTACAGAAGTTAAATATTTCTCAATAATTCCTAGCCATAAGTGGTACAGTACAGACTGTGTTTTTTCCAGAAGGCAAAAAAGCCTCTGTTCTCCCAAAATACATCATGCACTCATTGGAGAACTTGTAAAGATTGACAGAAACACTTAATACTTATCTCTCTTTGCCTGTAGAAAGATATTGAATAATCTGGATAATAATTTACGTAGAGATATATTGCAGTTTTGTCATCTCTTGCTTTCTATACGAAAATGAAAAGAAAGGGTGGGTTTAATAAGCGAATGTTCAAAAACTGAAAAGTAGATCAGTGAAGATCAGTGTTCTTTGAAACACTACATGTAAGCTCCCAAATAACAGCTGTGAAGAAATATAGCTCTGCAAGTCTGAAGTTATTTACAACAGTTTTTCATCTTCTTTATTTGAAGTAACTAAAACTGGTTACTTTTGCAGAAAGGATCTCTTGTCAGATCCAGGAAGCCCGACCCTACGGTAGAACTAGTTTCAAGGCAGTACAGGGCTCCACGTTCACAAATACAGACCAAATAAAGATGTGCGCATCTGAGAGTCTACCACCCTGCAAGCAGCCCTTTCTTAGCTTGGGATGTCATATGCCAGTGTATGTCAAAATGACACTCTAAAGGCTCCATGTAACTTCAGCAATGAACAAGTATGATTTTTAATGATTAGTCACATGCACAGTGCATCCATTTTTCCTCCCTGCACTGCTTAATTGAATATAATTAAACTTTATTTCAGTTATAAGGACACAGCAAGTTTAAAGACCTCACAGCATGGCCTGTGGGCAGTCGCTTCTTGGAGCAAGCTTCGGCTGTCAGTCGTCAGTTCCCTTCCCTGCTTCAGTTTGACAGCACCTGGGAAAAAGCTAAGGCCTGTTTTATGCACAGAGCATCAAAAAAACACACTCCCTTTTTCCTTCCTTCCTATTTCCTCTTGTTCAAATGACTGGGTGCTCTTTGTTCACTGCCCACCACACAATTATTTTTTGTGGCAGAGAGCAAGCCAGGAATATTTCAGTAGCATATGAGCAACTGAAGCAGTTAAGCAAAAAATACAGATTGCCTTAAGAGCAGTCTACAGCCAGCTGCTACCATAACCAATCAGAAATTGCTGATAGTTATATGTTAAGGTTGCTGCCACAGAAGACAACCTTTTGCTCTTCCAGAAAACAAACCAGACTTAATCCACCAAGAGACATAGGGTTAAAGATTGCTTCACACAAGTCAATCACACCAGCTCCTGCTCCTTGCTCACTACTTCTAGAGCAACAAATACAAAACCAAGAAAATCCCCCTAATAGCAAAAAAAAACCCAGCAGACCATCAGTTCTTAACTGCAACTGTGCA